ATAGCAGGAATTTGGGCAGCCTGTCAGTTGTATCTCTATAGCACTGTAGTACTAAAATATTTGGTATAACACAGGGTATTTGAGATCACCCCATGAGAGTGTCTGTGGGGCAAGCAGAGAATCAAGGCTGGAAGGGACCTCAGACTATCTCTGGCCCAACCTCCTGCCCACAACAGGGTCAGCTTTGAGCTCAGGCTTCCCAGGGCTGCATTCGGTCAACTGGGGCTTGAAACCTCAAAGTGTCTCTGAGCAACCTGTGCCTCTGCCTGACTGTCCTCCTAGGAAAAGAATTTTGCTTTGTATCCAGGCTGAACCTCCCCTGTGTAAGTTTTTGCCTGTTGTTTTTCCCCTTGCTGTCCTGCACTGCTGTGAAGATTCCATCTCTTGACTTTTCAGTGACATCCCCATAGGCACTGGAGATGCTGTTACATCTCTCCAAAGCTGCCTGTCCCTGCCTGAAGCTCATCTCCCCTAGCCTCACCCCTGTCATGCCAGTGGGCTCTGCTTAACTCTCCTAAATTTGTTGGTGTCTTTTGTGTATTGCTGGGGCCCCAAACTAGGCAGTGTCTAAATATGGCCCAGAGTGCTGAGTAGAGGAAGATAATCTGTTCCCTCAATCTACTTACTGGCTCTGCTTGTGTTCATGCAGCTCAGAGTGCTGTTGTCTGTCTTTGCATCCTGCTGGCTTCCAGCCAGCTTGCTATCCTCCAGGACCTCAAGGGACATTTCATAACGTGTATCAGCTATTCTTTCCCTTTCCAATTCTAATTATCTCAGATTGGTGTTCGAGATACAGAAGCACTAACATTCCCATCAGCAAAAGAGAAAGGAATATACAGTAACAAAACACTTTTGGTGACATAAGGCTCAAGCCTATTGTCCCTCAGAAATAAACAAATGTAGGCTTTTGAGGTGAATGAGGAGTAGATGCCAACCCAGGATACTACTGGAAAGTTAAGTGGCAACCTGAAGTCAATAGTGTGGTGGTGGCATTCAGAAGAACATACTTTAAAGTGTACTTTAAACTGCAACAGCTAAACTTAAAAATAAATTTATTGGGTTTGTTTGTTTTGGTTTTTTTTTATTTTTGTTTTTTTTTTTTTATTTTTATAATTTAATGATCCACATAAACAAAGAATTATATCAAGCCTGTTCACATTAATGTTTCAGATTTTTTTCTTTTTCTTCAGCACACTTATTCTTTCTGTATAATCAGAATATACATTTAAAAGTGTTTGCAATATACCAGATTGCAAATACCCATTAGCTTGCAAAACAAATGTTGTGAAGGGAACTACCTTGGAGTTATATTTTACTCTGAAAGTATGGTGAATTATATTAAATAACACAACTTTTCTCTGCAGCTGTATTTGCAGCTTTATTGAAGACAAACAAAGCAAACCCTCTCAGCTTTAGATAAAGAGGTGACGTTTTAGGCTTACTCGTGATTTCTTTAAGCCTTCAGCAACTTTTAACCTTTCAGATTGATGCATGTTTTGCTATATGACTAAAAAGATCATAGAGTCACAAGAAATTCATACAGTTTATGTTTATTTAAGGAAAGCTTCATTTATATTTTGAGACAGATCTTGCAGTAGTTTTGCTGTTGTATGTGATTATGGTAGTACTGCTTCTCTTCCAAGAAAAGCTGTGGTTAGTTTTAGGAGGGGAAACTGCTGTCTAGTTTAAATTAAACTGGATGAAACAATTGGCAGTGAATGGGTACGTGGGTGTGTTTTTGGAGGGAGTAGGAAGCTGCTTTGTGGAAGTGATGTGGTATGGGATAAAATCCTGCAAGCTGAGAACGTGAGCATGTGGGAAACCCAACACTTCATCCTCACCCCATCATTCGCAATATAGAGCCTTAGAACATGAATGAGTCTCTTCATGTCAAAGAGCCAACTTCAAACTTAATGGCAAATGAGTTTTTTTGTAAATTCTGAATTGTTGATAGAACATATCATCCTAAGCTAGAGCTGTTCTTCCTGTTCACTGAGATGCTATAACAACCTCACTGGAAGTTTCACTTAGGAGAAACCTATTACATTTTGAGATAAAAAGAGATTGGCAGAAATAAGGTCTTCTGGCTCTAGAGGTTTATGAATAGTTGAACTTAGCTGTAAATTGTGGTAATAATCCTTTTTAACAGTTTAAATACTATTTTCCTCACAGAAAATCTTTACTGAACTCTAGAGGATCACTTATGGAGATATATGGAAACAGAGAATGCTGCCTTCCAGTCCTACTTGTTTAAAGATGACTGTAAATTCTCACCTGATTCAGCTTCTCAGTTTATCCAGGATGTAAATAGCTTAATGCTATTGGTATGTGTGTGTTCACAGAAGTTTATTGTTGCAAGAACCACAGAGCATAGTGTTGATTTATATCCCTGTACATAGCAGATGACAGCATTTAGAAAGGCTCCTGCCATACACAAAAATTTAACTTTTTACCTTATGAACCAAGACAGCAGCATAGATTCCCTATACTTTTTTTTTGAGCTGGAAGTCTTGCCTCTAGATCTTAAAGCCCTCTTGTTAATAGAGTCTGGTGGGATTTGGTTGCTTTGTTCCCCTGTGGAGGAAATTGCTTTTGAGGCCATGGCCTTCCTATGGACCCAGTTATTAGCTGGGACTCTACTGTAGGGACCTGGCTGATGAACTTGCAGGGTGAACTCTTTCTCCCCACACTGAAGGGCTTTGATACTGACTTCTGTGGCATCAGGTCTTAAGCAGTAAAGTTTCTTTCTGTAGACTTCCCCACACACATTTTAATTAAAAGGGAGAGAGCAAGGAAAATTTATTATTGTAATTTCAATTGTGGGCTTTTGAAGAGATCCAAAATAAGCATTTTTAACCACTTGTCATGCTTGTTGTGTCACTTAGTTTTTCTTGGTTTTTTTTTTCCAATCAACTATTTTCAATTTAGCTTTCTGTGTAGAAGACAAGGGTCTGTGAACAGCTACAGTGATGCTCTAACTTTTAATGAGCATTGAGGACAGATTTATAATTTATAGTTGGCTGGAGCTGGTAACTATTCTTGAAGAGATAGTATTTTGAAGCTTCTACCATGCCATATTTGTATGAGCTGTTTCTGGAGTTGGGGCAAGTGGAATTTCTCTTCACTTTAAAGTAGTAATAATGAAGCAGCATAATTTTCAGCAAATACCTTGGTGAGAATCAGGAAGGAGCTGACCTCAGAGGCTGAGACTAGCATGCACTTTTAGAGGGGGTTGATTTGACAGCTTCTGGCACTTCTATTGTGTTCCTTACACTGATTCCCTTATGGGTCAAATTTGGTGGCGCAGCTTCCTTTGTTCAAGTTGATGTTAAAATGCTGAGACTCAGCTGTGAGAATCTTTCACAAACTATATTTTTTAAACAGCAAATTATTGGACTGGAGAAGGGGAGCAGGTTACATCCCCTCCAGTTTTTGCCTATCTCCTGTGCTCGCTGCCATAGAAGACCTATCAAAAGCTGTAGCAGAAAGTGTTTGGAGCCTGCTTCTTGTGTTCATTAATGATCCAGAGTTAGCAGCTCTCTGCCCTTGCAAGCAGGTGTCACTGCAGCCAGCCCCAATTACAGCTGTATTCAGGGGACAGCAACATGATTCAGCCGGTCAAAAACAATATAAATGGAGGAAGCTTTCACAGTTCAGGGATTATATATTTTTAGCAAGCTGTGTGTGATATAATCCAACAAGAGGCTGTATTTTTTGGACTTAAATGCTTGTTCTGTTCCTGTCAACAGGCAATACAGCAGTATAAAACTTGCAAGTTACAAAGAGGAAAGAATATGAGAACATGGTAGGGCAAGGAGATTTTTATCCCATCATTACTGATAAGTCCTGCAGAAGAAAATAGGTTTGAAGTTCTCTAGATTTCTAAATTTGTGATAAAAGAGGTCAGATTTCTTAAGGCCTTCAGTAATTTTCAGCATGCAGTGCTAAGGAAAAATGGGTTCTTAAATGATTTCTTAACAACAGAACTTTCATTCAGGCCCTTGTGTGTGGTTTGTATCAGTTCAGAGCTCTGAACCATGATCTTGTTCCCTTTAAGTGTTGGATTAAGTTATCCTGACAGCAGACCTGTGTAGCAGTGTCTCATTTTCAGGCAGCAAGTAAAAATGTTTTACTTCCTTTTACAGGACATGAAGTACAGTAATTTGAGACGTCTGCATCTTTTAGCCAAATATCACTTGTCTATGAATACCTAATTTTAGAAACTTTAAGTAAAGAGGTGGCAACTGGGGAGAGTCTACAGTACACAGGGTTATATTTGTGAAGTTTCTTCATTAATTCTTCCTTTTCTCCTCTGCTAGAACTCTCTGTTATAATGAACATTAACCATAGGACACAAGATCACAGAACCATGGGCAGCCTGGTCAGCTGTATTTTAGGAACTCTGAATTCAAGAAGTATTTGGGCAATGCTCTTGGGCACGTGGTGTGACTCTTGGGGTGTCCTTCACAGGACCAGGAGTTGGACCCAATAACCCTTGTTGGTCCCTTCCAACTCAGCATATTTTATTATTCTATGAGATATATTATGCAAATTATGGTGAAGAGAGGACTTCTAACAGCAGAGTGAACTGAATGTCTCTTGAAGCTGCTATTTGGGAGTTGCTGTGAACCAGACAGGTGTTTGAAGAACACAAGAAACGTTTGAAAATGTCTAGATACTTCTTCAAGCTTTCTCACTTACTTCTGTATTCTCGTTCAAGTTTTTTACTTCTCTGAAATAGTCTGGTCAAAGTATGCACTCAGGCTGAAGTTTGATTTTTAATTTTGTTTTAATTTACATGAGATTTTTTTCTTAATATATTTCCCTTGTATTTACATAGACGTTTGCTTCAAGAGCAATTTTAAAAAACTGAAGTATCCCTTTTTTTCTATCTGTAAAAAGTCTCAATTCTATTTCTACAGCACTAATATCACCTGTGAAGAGGAGGTCATCAGTGATCAATATATTACGGCTCTAGCAGCACAAACCAAACCATCACCATGAAACACTTCCTGAGGTAACTGTTCTGTATTTTCTTAAAAGTGTTGAATTATTCTAATTACTTTCATGCTGCAGTGAGCTAAGTGGTTTAGCTGTTACAAGTATTACAGAAGGTATAAACTAGTTTATACTAGGCTGCTTTCTGTTCACCTAGACATAGATTTCACTATTTAATTAAAGCTGTTTTAATTTAAATTTTCTTTTGCAGTTCTTTATAGAAGCAAAGAATGTGGGAACTCTCTTGTGGGATTGGAGCAGTGATGTATAAAATCAGTAGTGCCTGATATGTCAGGGGAAAAGAGAAGAAATAGTAACATAGAACAGTGCTTGAAAAATGTTGGGTTTTTTCCTTCCTGCTCTTGTCCGCTGTCTGGATTTTTGGAGTGTTGTTTTTGAAAGCCAAGATGCTTGCTGAAGATGTGCAAGTGTTTTTGAAGTTGATCATGTTCAGTTTGCAGGAGAAGTGTCAATTACTTGCTCCTACATATGATTTGCAGTCAGTCCTCTATAAACCAATTATAAATGGGGGACTTGCAGACAGCAGGTGTAGGTGCAGAAAGGCCATTTTGTATTTGTTCTGTAGTCAGTGGAGGGAGCTGAGCACTTCTCAAAACTAATACAGATCAAGAGCTCAATTTGTGTATAAACCAAAGGAATCATTCTGTCTGTGTGGGAGGAACCTTTTCAAGAGGACTAAAACATATGCTTCTGTATAGAGCATCTGTCACTATATTTTTCTCCCTTTTTAGACTGTTTATAGCAAAGAATCTTACACACTATGGATATCAGCACCATATCTCTAGGTGATCATCTGTAATGATTTTGCTGCCAAGATAGACATAGCTTAAGCATTTCTCTGGAGTGTTTGGGCCAACCTCCTCATGTATCTTGAACCAGCTGCAAAAGGGCTCTGTAAGCAGAACATAGACAGATTAAAAGTATAAAGCAGCTATTTGTTTACTAACATCCACAAAACACAGCCAAGGGTGAATTGAGCTTTAATTTAAACATTAGTGTGCTCACCACCTGATAGGCACTAGCTAAGAGGGAAAGAATTGACCCTTGCAGCTCTGTGGCCCAAGATCTGAGTAGTCCCAAGTCTTCCACCAATTCCATTTGTACTGATCCAGTGACCTGAAAGTTCACAAGTAGCCAGACTTACATCCTTGCACTGCTTTTTCCCTTTACAATTTTGTAACATCTCATGTCAGAGCCTTTGTTCTGGAATCCTGCTAATTATTTCCTTCTCAACAGTCCTACCTCCATAATGTTTGCCTTTTGTCTCTATACAGACTTGTTCAGCAGCCTGACCCAAGGTCGCAAATTGATTCCATATGGGATTTGGTTCATGAGTCCTTCATAAAGTGAACCCTACCATCCTGTGAGAGGGGTGGGAGCCTCTGGCTGGGATCACAGAGGGTGTTACACTTGCTCTCATAATGATCTGGCATTTTCTGAACATAAAGTAATTTTGCTCCCTTCTGATGGAGAAGCTGAGCTGTTGACAACTTTTAAGCTGCCAGCTCTCTTCCTTTTAAACTACCTGTTCTGCTCCCCTTTTCTCTCCTGGCCCCTTGAGGATTTTTCCATGTTGGAGAAAGAGTGCTGTTTTGAATATGAGGGTTCTTGAGGCTATCATGGAGAAACTACCTTCTACTTCTCTTCATGTTATTCCTGAAGTCAGTGAATCCTAAAAGATTTGAAAAATCCTAATTTGAAAATCCTAAAAGATTCTTTAAATGGTCAAGGTAGATCTTCTGAAAAACAGTGGCCTATCTAAACAGGACAGTCTAGGACTTTGTTATGGAAAGTCCAGTATTTCAAATGCTGAACAGAAAGTTGGATTAAGGGATGGGGGGAGGAGAGTACCGAGCACCAAAAATGTGAACACAGTGTTGAAATAGGAAAGCTATTTCTATTTACTTACAAGCATCTGGATTTTCTTATATTATGTTAATCCTTTGACATGAACTGATAAGAGTTCTATCCTCCACATATTTTGTAAATATAGAGAGAAAAAAAACCCAAAGGGATTAAGGAGCAAAAATCCTCCAAGGAAAGCACTTACTGGGGATAATGAGTTCTGCTCTATGGGTTGCAACCTGCAGTTGCAGGTTTGTGTGATGGGGAATAAGGCAGTGAAATGTGGAACTGCAGGGACATATATGTGCAAGACAAGGATATTAAGCCTTCCAGCTTGGAAATCGGTTGGAAAATAAGTTAATACTTATTGTGTCCCCATGTTTGTCTGTTACCAATAGCAGCAGCACCTGGGAGCTTAAAACATCCTTAGCTGTTTGTGAAGATCAAATGCAGGGCTGAAATGTAGAATTCTGATGGCAGGGACTGCTCAATGGCACAGTGCTTTCCTTCTTGAGCAGTGTGGAACAGACACCAGAACAGCTGATGCTGATGGCATAGATTATCTCTGTGTTTAAAAACAATGACTTAAGTCTGCACAAACTGCAAGTCATTTTGTTGATTGCAACGTGGAAAATGCCATAAAACAGATGTTGAGAGGAACAGGGCTTTCATCTCTGGAAAGTTAACCTGTTTAAAGTTAACCTTGATTTTGCTTTCTAAGTAGCAAAAATACTTCACCTGTAGCAACTTCATGCAGCAGATATTCACCTGGAGACCCAAGGAGGACCTTGAAGAGTGGATTTCAAATCCAACTTGTTGTGTTTAATGAGGTTGAAAGACAGCTCTGGAAATCATCAAGCCTTATCCCATTGCTCAGAGCAGGGTCAGCTATAGTAGGTTGCTCCAGGCTGAGACACATTCTGAGCACCTCTAAGGATGGAGATTCTGCAGGCTCCCTGAAAAACCTGTTCCATTTCTTTAGAATCATAGAATTCCTTCAGATGGAAAAGACTTTTAAGATCATTCAATCCAAGCATTAACTCAGCATAGTCAAGTGTACCACTAAACCATGCACCTGAATGCCACATCTATGTTTCCTTTAAATACCTCCAGGGATGGCGATTTCACCACCTCCCTGGGCAGCCTGTTCCAATGCTTGACAATTATTTTTGTGAAGAAATTTTTCAATTATTTTCAATCTAAACCCTTCCTGGCACAAAATGAAACTGTTTTCTCTTGTGTTGGGAGAAGAGGCTGACCCCACCAGGCTACCCCCTCCTTTCAGGCAGCTCTAGAGTGATGAGGTCTCCCCTGAGCCTCCTTTTCTCCAGACCAAACACCCCCAGCTCCCTCAGCTGCTCCTCACAGCCCTTGTGCTCCAGACCCTTCCCCAGCTCCGTTCCCTTCTCTGGACACGCTCCAGCCCCTCCATGTCTTTCTTGCAGGGAGGGGCCCAGAACTGAACACAGGATTGGAGCTGTGGCCTCAGCAGTGCCCAGTACAGGGGGACGGTCACTGCCCTGCTCCTGCTGGCCACACCATTGCTGAGCCAGGCCAGGATGCCATTGGCCTTCTTGGCCACCTGGGCACACCCTGGATCATGTTCAGCTGCTCTTTTCCAGCACCCCCAGGTCCTTTTCTGCCAGGCAGTTTTCCAGCCCCTGCCCCCAGCCTGCAGCACTGCCTGGGGTTGTTGTGACCCCAGTGCAGGACCCAGCACTTGGCCTTGTTGAATATCACACAATTGCCCTGGTCCTTTGGTCCAGCCTGTCCTGATCCCTCTGCAGAGCCTTCCTGCCTCTAGTAGATCATGACTCCCACACAACTTGGTTGGAGAAAGAGTCTGTCTATTAAACAGTCCAGTAGTTGGAGTAATCCTAAATCCCTAAATTTAGACCCTTATGTTCATATTTCCAATTCAAGGCAATGTCCAAATGAAAGTAGTTGGTCTTTTCTTTTTCAGCTTGCTCTGATATGAATTATTTCTGACATCTGAAATATTACTTATGAAAAAATTAAACTGTTTCTCAGTTAAATACTTAATCTTTCAAGGCTTTTTGTTGTAAAGGGGTTCTGCGAAGTCTGTCAGCAACACTTATACTTTGACTGTAATTTGTCTTAAATATCTGAAATAATAACAACTTGGAGAACAAACTGTAGTAGACAGGTTTCTTTTCAGTAAATCCTAGAAATCTGACATCTTCTCTTGCTCTACTGCAAAGCAATCTGTAAGCTCTAGCAGATTTTAAATGTATTGGAGTCTTCAGATAAAATGAAAATCAAATCAGCAAACAGCAAGAGTAGTGAATAGATGGAAAGCTGTTGTTAAAAATTACTCTTACACCTCCCCTAGTTGCCACAGTGAGTTGCTCCCATGTCTAAACAGGGAGATAAGGTGGGTTTCAGTTGTCAAGTCTGCAAAGACACAGAATGAAGGCAATTTCTTGTGTTTTAAAGAAGTAATAGCAGGTCTGCCTATGGCAGAAATGGTGATTGGTACCTTACTTCTTGGTTAACCTTGTATACACACTGTAAATTATGCACATAAACCAAAGATGGTCAAGTTAATGAGCTCCTAACAGGGTTGTATCACTTGCTTACTCACCCTGGCCAGCATTTCAGCCATGGCTAGTGTGTCCTTGACTTCTCAAACTGTAGTTAGAATTCTCAGAAAGGAAATACTGATGTGTAATGCACTCCTTTCTGAGATAATTATGTCCTTAAGGGAAAATAATTGTGTAAAAATCTTCAGTACCCATAGGACCTAAAACATGACACACAGGAAAGAAAATGATGTGTAAGTATGCTCAGTGACTTTCATTCTTTTAAACTAGTGGGTTTGGGCGAGTGAGTATTTTTGTTTTGGTTTAGGGTTGGGTTTATTGTTTGTTCTGTGTTTGGGGTTTTTTTTTTGGTGGGGCTGGACATTTTGGCTTGTTGTTTTATAGGTTTGGGTTTTTGTTTGTTTCGGGTTTTTTCTTGCTTTCCCCCCCAGTTTTAAGTCCAGTAACTAGCACTGAGTATCTAAGCTTTCATTTTAGCCGGAGTACCTATGTTTGTTACTAGCTCTGAAAATACTAAGGTTCTGAAACTACTGAGGGAGGGAATAAGCACCTTCTATTTTATTAGTTCTATTATATTAGTTTCAGAAATGTTGCACAGTAATTAATCTCTACTTCTCTTCAGGAAGTAGTTCATGTTGCATTAGACATACATCTTGCTATTTAAGTGAATAGATTACACAGGAAAGAGATCACAGAAATATTAGGCAACTTCAGAAAGTTTTGCACAATTTTGCTTCTGACAGTTTATCATGGAGAAGGCTGTGCTTATCCCCTAGAGCCAGTCACCTTTAAATAAAAAGCCAGATTACATGAAGATGTGATGTCATACTGTCATAGGAGAGAGATGTAAATTCTAATAGCCAATGCATTTGCCATTTTAATCACACTGTCACACATCAGCTGGGCTAGTCAAGGGCAAAGCTGGAAACCCCTTGTTGAAAAGCACTTATATCTTTCCCTTTTCAGTGTTGGGGTGTGAAACAACTTGCTCAGTGCTCTCTGCTGGTTGCTGCCACGTGCTTTCTTTCCCCAGGCAGGGCAGGACATGCTATGGAAAATAGAAGCAGTGTCTCTGGTGCAGCAGTACTCTTACTTTATGCTGGCTTTTGCTCTAATTTCTCCCTGTCTTACAAGGATCTGAGCAATTGTAGAAACCCTTCCCTTTGTCTTCTTTGTCACAGAAGAGAGCTCTCCAGAATCTCTTGAGTCCCATTATTGCTGATAGAGATTGGTTGCTTGATTGGTTTTGTCATGCAGAATCCTTGGCAAAGAAACTGAATGTTGATTTGACATCTTATTAGGAAGTTTTTTCTTTGTTTTACTTGAATAAATGTTCATATGAACTGTTTTAATGCATGTAGAAACACAAATATTCAGGTCTATACAGCTGCTTGGAATACAGGAGGGGGAAAGGAGCTTGAATTGAAATAGGAAAGAGTAGAGTGTGAGTCCCTGAGGAAAACCTTCATTTCTGTAATACTTCTGTTCTTAGACCTCACCTCAGGATCTGAAATAATGGTGTACATGACCACATAAATTATTTTCTGTGCTGAGAAACCTGCAAAGGCAAGCAGGTGGGGAAAAACCCACAAAACAAAGAAGGATAACAAACTAAAGGGGGAAAAAACCAACACAGGGGAGACTGAGTGGAGAGGAGGTTTGGAATTTAACACTAAAACAAACCAGAAATTAATGTCACTGTGCCACAGTCGAAGATCATGGCTGTGCTTTTGGGGGGTTCCCATTCATGATACGCTGTGTTTTGTTTTACAGTGTATAGGGGCTATCATAAAACTTTCCTTGCATAATCACTAGTGTGCTTTTATTACAGGATTTCTGCAAGCAAGAATTCCCTTTTATAAACAGCTTGTGATACTTTTTACATCTTTCATGTTACAAATGGAAGGTTTCAACTATTGTAAGCTTGAGATGGATGAGTGGTAGAAAACTGGAGGTACCCACAATGGCTAACTTTCTTCTATAAGCTACCTACTCAAAATTAGTGTGTTTGTTTGGTTTATTGTTAGTAATAGCTGCTAAGCATATTTTAGTGAATCACAGAGGTATGTGTTTGTGTGCTGTAGTGTCATGTTTTTAGTAGATGCATTTTAATTAATCTTAGTGCAAGCCACTTCCAAAGCAGAACTTTAGTGGAGAAAGTGTTTGCAATTATGTGGTCGCAGGTCTATCCCATTTGGAGTTTTTCCTTCAATTTGCAGATCTGTCATTGAGCCTAAGGCAAAAATATGTAGTTCAAATCACCTGATACCTTCCCTCCTCTAAGTCCCTAAAACTTATCCAAAGCACACAGTATTCAATTATCCACAATATGGTACTCAAAACATTTTTTAATGAAATGGATTGTCATGTTTCAGCATTGGAGGCAATTAAGTATAGGCATGAACTTTCTTAAAGGATATGTGGTTTTTACAGGAGCTATCTTGCTCATTAGAAGAAAATCTTGCATGGACTGTTAACATGAAGTTAAGTGAGTTTTCCCTCATCTTACATATAAATGAGCTCTATGTATTTTTTAGGCCCCTTTAAAAGAGGCCTAACATTTGGAAACAAAGCAGACCAAAAAGAAAGCAACTCTAATTTCTCCTACAAATATATTATGAAAATTAAGGTCTTTGTTTTACCATACTCCACTTTCCAGCTTGGTGTTTTCCTGTGCTTTTAACCTGGCTACAGGGCTGAGTTGTGCTGATGAAACTAAGGCTATAGGTTATATTTGAATACTTCTTGGTCAAGTGCCCCTTCCCATGACAGGGGGTTTGGAACAAGATGATCTTTACGTTCCCTTCCAGCCCAAATCATTCTGTGTTGATTCTATTATTCTACTCCCAACTGTTGGAAATGTAAAGAATGGCTGCTTGCCTGATGATGGCCTTGCCCTCCTAGTGTTGTTCTTAATACTGAAGGTGATAACCTGCTGTGAAGCACAGATTAACTCCTCAGAGTAGTGTGTTCTGGCATGTCTTGAGTCAAGGATGAGGGAGTACACAAATACTTTGATGTCAGCACCTGAAACTTCTCTCTTGTCTAAAACTTCGTTCTGTCATGGGACTGATTCCTCATTCTTTAGGTGTCAATTTGCATCTAAAATAGAGGCTTCCTGTTGAATAAAACCAAGGAGGTTTGCCTGCATGCAGGCATTTGGGAGTACTAAGTGAATTAACTAAGAGTCTGAAGATAAAGTAGATGCTTTTAAAGCATTTTAAATACTTGTGTGGATGCTTTCCATTTTGACATAAAATGTCTTTAGTTCCCATAGCTTAATCCTCCTTCAAAGATGATTAAGCTGAAGCCAACATAAAGCAGATTAAACTCCTGTGTGGACATTAACACACGTTAATTCATCTTCCCTTCCTTGAACATCCTTCTACACCATGTCCTTCAGGAAGTTTTTAAGAAGTGATGGAGTTCTTCAGGCTTTACATACATACATATACATATTTATAACTGATTTGAGTATCTGGAAGTGAGCTAGCATATCAAAGTTATATTGATGTTTCATATAATATAATTACAGAATATGATCACAGAGAGGCTGAGATTGGAAGACACCTGTAGACATCATCTAGTCCATCCCCCTGTTCTAGCAGAATCACCTGTAGTTAAGGACATTGCCCAAATGGCAATGTTCCTACTGCTAGTTCTTTGCAATTTGTCTTTTATGAGATGTTTTTCTGAACCTAGGGACTGTGGCTGGATCCATGTGTAACCCAGGAGGTTGAACAGATAGTTGGGTAATGTGGCAGGAGCTGTGCCATCATAGCCATAGAAACAAGAAAGATAAATTATTTCCAAATAAGTTATTTCCCATTAAAATATGGGTTTGGGATGTGTTATATAATTGTGGTAGCAGTATGTGGGCTTTGGTAGCAGCTGTAATGCTAACCGAGTTTAAAATAGAGTGTTTCTTATATATGGAGCCTTTTTCAGGTTTTGGTAGGATCCCAGTCGAGCCTGAGAGGGACCTTAGCAGATCTCCAGTTCAATCTCCCTCTCACAAAAGGGTTAGCACTGAGAGCAGACTGGCTGCTCAGGGTTTCTTCCAGTCAAGGCTTAAAAACCTGAGGAAAGAGACAGCACAGCCTCTCTGGGCAACCTGTGCCACCGCCTGCCTGTCCTCAGGGGGAAAAAGCTTCTCCTTGCAAGGCTGATTCTCTTGTGTTTCAGCTTAGAGCTGTTGTCCCTTGTCTATTGGCCCTGCAGGACCTTCAAGAGCCCAGCTCTTTTTCCTTCAAGATCTTCCCACAAGCACTAGGGGCTGCTGTTAGATCCTTCTGATTCTTTATTTCAGGTGGAACAAGCCCAGCTCTCCCAGCCTCTCTTCACAGGGTTTGTACTCCAGCCCTATCATCTTCACTGAAATACGTCCAGTTTGTCAAAGTCTGTCTTCTGTTGCTGGGGCTCAAAACTAGTTTAGGTAGCTACATAAGGAGTTTCTTGGCTTACTGTCAGTTCTGTACTTTGAAAAATTGTGCAGCGTCAGTGCTGGGTAACAGCTGGTGTTGGGAAGAACTGGCATTCCTTAGGACAGAGTCTTAAACACCTTTTCTTCTGAAAGGGAAGAAGCTTTGATTACCTTAATTTTCCTCCTTAGGGACATGACATGAATGCTGTCAGGATGTCAAGTTTGTCAGAATAACCAAGCACTCTGCTTGGAGCAGATGGTTGCTGAGGCAAAACTAAGCCAAGGTGTAATGTCTTCCTGGATTGTCAGCATCCATTATATCAGGGTGAGCTGTACTCCCTTCTCATGCAGTCCTGTTTCCCCAAAGCATTGGAAGGAACTATACAGCCTTTTATGTTAAGAGGACAAAGAGTTTTCCACAAGTAGTCTTTTAAAACTCTGGAGTTTACTTATGCTGTGCTTCTAGTTGTGGTGCTGTGTGTGTGGGTTGTTTTGTTGGCTAATACTAAAATGCACAATTTAACATTTACCAGTATAAATGTTTGTAGTTTCATTGCTGCTTCTGCTCTGAAGGTGCCCTTAGGCAATGGGAATTTTGGGTGACGAAGTACTTGCTGTTTGAGTGGTGACCTTGTTGAAACAAACTCTGCTCCAGACTCTTATTTGCAGGCTTCTTCTTTTGCCAGGATGTTTGTCCAGGTATGCCTGTACTTCTACTGCAAATGCTTGTGGCGCTGCCTGAAATTTGTGGTCAGGAAACTGACAGGTCAATGTGAATTGCAAAGGATCTGTTACAACACCAAACCTGGAGCTGCCAGAACTATGAAAATAGGTAACTGCAATATACTTAGTTCTGCATACCTTTGTAACTTTCTGCATGTGCTAAAAATTGTATGATATTGTTTTTAGAAATAAGTTGTTAAATTGATCCAATGTAAACATGCTTGTTTGACATGATGCTTTCAAATACTCTTCCCTTACAGAGGCATCCCTGAAAGGTTCAAAAAGTAAGGTGAGTGAAAGATCTCATTATTCACCTGTTCTATTGTGTCTTGTACTGTTGGTTTGTTCAGTCTGCTCTTTGCTCACCCCAAAAGATCGTTTTAAGGTTGGATATGATTTTACATGAAAGCCATTTTCCACTGAAGAGGGTCTTATGTCTGCAATAGCAGTTGATCTTGCAAAGTTGGGTAGAGTTCCTGTGTTCCAGGGACAGGCTCACTGTGGCAATGATGGAATCATTGAATGATGGAATCAAGGGAACAACCTGCCATGGTGATGATGAGAGTGAAGTGTTGTAATTTGGAGGTTCTTGGCTTGATTCCTCATCCTGTCTTAGGATATCTGTAATCTGCAGTCAGTCACTTGCAAATTTAGAAAAAAGAAGTCAGGTTTTTTGTCTGGAAAACAACTTTCCCAACTTTGTTCCCTCTTTTCCTTTTAAATACATTGATGGAGAAAAGCCTCTCACTTCATCTTTTTACTGTGGTTTGCCAGTGGTTTTTCTAACCTGTTTTTCCCTAAGGCATTTGTAAATTAAATAACATCCTTCAGCCTTTAAATTCTCTGTCACAAAAGTCAATGATGTTAAAAAGCTTACCTCAGCATTAGCAAAAATGGTGTCATGTAGTTCAGCATAGTACTTCCAAATGTATTTCTAGCACAATCAGAAAGGCAGAATCTTATTTAAAAACTTGCATTTAGCAATTGTGCAGTCTTGAGACAAAGCACAAGAAATTTCAGCCTCGGAAGTTTTCAGATGGCATTTTGGTTTTTGAATACTGAACCCTTAGGGGCATTTCTACAGATAGAAATCACATGTGAAAGAAAGAATGTTTTGCTGTGTTACTGCAACATCTTGGGTGAGAGAATGTCAAATAAAGGCTAGAAATTCTGGTGTAATTAGGTGGATGATCTGAACCTGCTTCTTGATCTGCACTGAGGCCTTTGATGATCTTCACTGACAGCTGCCACAGAAATGCAATAAACTGACTACAAGGGCAAAGGGACTCGAGTTCTTACAGGGCAGGTGCTCTGAAATGAGTCAGTAGGGTTGAATAACTTGGAAAGATATGTACATGTGTTCAGTTGGGTCTTCTGGGCTGTAAATGCAGAAGCTTTCAGGTATCCAATTTACTACTTCTGTAGGAATTAATATGTATTTAAAACCTCTTTTTAGCGGCTGCAAACATCAGTAAATGTTCACCCTGATGCTATTGAAAAAACGATAGATGACATCATGGAGCTGAAAAGGATTAATCCAGATATAAATCCACAGTAAGTTCATAGTTTCCTTACAGAGCAAGTGGGAGTTACTGATTTCCTCAGTTCCTGGGTCCATGGAGAACTGCTTCTCCATAGTTATTGTGGTACACAAGTTGAAGATTAATTCTGTCGCTCAGCATAAAATTCTAATTTTAGCTTTGCTGCCAAAACACTGATGTAAAAATGAATGATTTTTTTATGGTGACTTAATAAGCAAGTCCTGAGTCTTTTATCTAGCTGGTTCTGTCTTAGTATATTGTTGATGCATGGATTTATGGGGGTCACTTCCCCAGGGATAAAATACCACCAAACCACAGGTCCTAGCAGAGACAGTGATGGCTTCTTAGAAAGGCTCTGTGCTGCCTTTTGAGTAGGGAAGAAATCATCCTGTTTTAGCTGATACAGAAATATACTGGTTTGCACTTTTATAGCTGCCTTTAATTATCCAAACAGAAGTTTTAATGATATAGCTGATATTTATTACTGTAAGACGATATTGACAACTAACCATTACAAGTGTGTATTTCAAGAGTAGGTGATGATAACACTTTTATGGTTGTCTTACCTTACAGTTCCTAGCTTAAGGCACAAGATGTCTAGGTCAGGAATCAGTAGGAGGAAAGCTGAGAGCTATATTATCCAGGTGATCAGTCTGAGGCTCACTCCTCTTCCTAAGCTTGAAGTTGATATGCATAATTAAAAATGGGCATCCATAAATGGATAGCTGCTTTTCTTTAAGTAGTCAGCATCATCAACAGGCAAGGTGATGTCAGCTCCTGAACATAAAAACCTGTATCCAAACCATCTTGTTTAGAAGCTCTGGCCTTATGTTCAATAGCAGAGACTTGAAATTTCCTGGGGTAAGGACAAGGGGACGTGTGTCATACTGTATGTGTTTCTGCAAATCTGTATGCAGACATTTTTGTTAATGTGGCATCTTTGCAGAGCTGAACTAGCATCTCAGGGATGCTTGCACTGGCTGTTCTTGGGGGCTGTGGGCTGCTGTGATCTAAAGAGAAGGCATCCCACAGTAATTTTCCTTTATCAATGCCTCCCAGATAAGTGTGTGTATTTAGCAGTAGGAGCAAGTAGGTTGAATAACCTGGTGGTAACATGTGCAGTCTACACTAAATATGGAAGCAGACATAGAATCACAGAAAGGCTTGGGTTGGGAGGGAAGTTAACAACCATCTCTAGTTCCCCTGCTCCAGTTTTGGACTTGCCTCCATCTGGTGGAGCACCTGGAGCTGAGTACAGTGGGAGTGCAAGCCCAGGTACCTTGCTCCTGTGCTCTGAGAACAGCCACAGCCAGCACCAGGATAACAAGGAGGAGATGTGGGAAATCAGAACCTCACCCACATTCTGTGCTTGGCAAGAACAACAAAGCATTCATGAAAAGGAAAGGGGGGAGTCTAATTCAACCCTCATCTCCTCACTCAAATAACATTGCATAGAGCTTTTGACTGCCTTTACATAAAGTGCAAAAATGGCTTACTTTGAATGTGTTGTGAACCCTGGATCTTAAAAGCATGTATTTTTTTAACATAAAATTGCTCTGCTTTGCCACAGCCGGTGTTCTGCTGCTCTAAACAATTCTGAGGCTATAAAGAAGTTAAAAACATTATGGCTGTGATTTAGTGATACTCTACAGCAATTCACAGTCTGTCAGGATTTTCAGCTTCCTTTGAAATGCAGCCTTTCTGTAAAATTGGAGGCTATAGCTAGTGAAGCATGTTAAAAAAAAAAAAAAGAAGTGAAGGATGGAAAATACTGTGGAGGTTTTTCTGTCTGAAAGGGTTATAGCCTCAAATGGGATAAAATTGCAGCAAGCGAAATGGACTAATTCTGACATCTCTGATTCTGTAGATTAACCATGGAATCATTTAGGTTAGAAAAGGTTTAAAATTCTGAAGGCAGTTAACCCAGCACTGCCAAATCCACCCCTAACCCATTTCCCTAAGTGCCACATCTACACATGTTTTAGATACCTCCAGGGATAGTGACTCTACTACTTTCCTGCAGCCTGTTTCAGGCCTTGACAACACTTTTGGTGAAGGAAATTTTCCCTAATATCCAATCTATACTTTTTTTGCAGCAACTTGAGGCCGCTTGTCCTGTCCCTTGTTACCTGGCAGAAGAGGCCACTCCCCACCAGGCTACCCCCTCCTTTCAGGCAGCTCTAGAGTGATGAGGTCTCCCCTGAGCCTCCTTTTCTCCAGACCAAACACCCCCAGCTCCCTCAGCTGCTCCTCACAGCACTTGTGCTCCAGACCCTTCCCCAGCTCCGTTCCCTTCTCTGGACACGCTCCAGCCCCTCCATGTCTTTCTTGCAGGGAGGGGCCCAGTGCTTTGCCTTGCTGAATCTCATACAATTGGCCTTGGTCCGTGGATCCAGACAGCCCAGATCCCTCCTGCCCTCCAGCAGATCAACACTCCTATCCAACTTGGTATCAGCTGCAAACTGACTGAGGATGCACTTGGTCCTCTCATCCAGATCATCAATAAAGATACTAAACAGAACTGGTCCCAAACTGATCCCTGGGAAATGCCACTAGTGACCAGCCCCCAGCTGGATGTAACTCCATTCATCACCACTCTCTGGGCTTGGCCATGCAGACAGTTTTTTACCCAGTGAACAGTGCACCCACCCAAGCCACAAGCAGCCAGCTCTAGTAGAATGCTGAAGAAAACAGTGTCAAAGGCCTTAGTAAAGTTCAGGTAGAAAACATCCACATCCTTTCCCTCATCCTAGGCAGGTCACCTTCCCATAGAGGGAGATCAATTTAGACAAGCAGGACCTGCCACAAAAGATAAGCAGTGAAAATCCTTCTGTTCAGAAAATTTAAGAGTATTACAAAATAAACAAAATATTTCAGTGTATCAAACATGACAGACAAGGAACCTGTGCAGCTTATTGTCAGCGCAGCTGGTGTTCCACAGAGGAATAAGGGTGCACACTTAGCTTGCCCTCCAAATTCATACCAAGTGTTCAAATAATTTTAGACACTATTAAATATTAAAGGGCTTATTCTCGTGTATAAGCAAATATTTCTATGAGCAAGGCAGTTGCATACTGCTTGACTTGCATTTTGTATTTTAAAATCTTAATGTAAAGCTCTTGTTTGGTGCAGTTTTCTGGTGGTTTTTTTTTAAGTTTGGTTTAGGGTTTTTTGAGGGTAGTTATTTCATATGTGTTGGGCTTGGTTTTTTTGATGATGCATCAGAAAATGTAAAAAGGAAATACAAAAATCTGCATTATAATGGAAAGAGAACCATTATGGTGATTCTTAACATGAGACAAAAGCCAAATCTGCCTAGAGGCAGATGTTTGAATCTATGTTACTTCAGGGTTTTGGCTTCTTTATGCTAGCTTTTGTGGCACAGAAGCAAAACAATTATTTTTAGCTTCTTGCTGAGTTTTCTTTCCCCCCTCAGCCTTTTTCAAGTTCGCATCTCTGATCTCAGGGAATTGTTTGAGATGCTGTCATTGGAACGAGGAGAAAGATTCAGTAATGTGCTTGTTCTAGGCCTTCAATGCTGCTGTGTATGGTTATACTGGGATTTTAGTGTGAAAAATCACTGTTTACGGTTTTAAAAATATCCCAAACATTATCATCTAAGGAAGGCACTAAATGAGATAGTGCCTTTCACAATGCTTTGTTTAATGTAATATTGATCTCGTAGAAATTTTCCTGTAGCAGCTGAAGTGTTAGACTGTCAATTCATGGATGTATCACTGGCACGTGTATTAGTTGTGTGTGTGCATGGCAGCGCTGGGTCGTGGCTACACATGATTGAGTTGGAACATGTTGCTGCTCCCGCCCTCAGGTTGGGAGTGTCTCTCCAGGCATGCCTGCTGCAGATTGTGGGCTACAGAAATCTCATTGCAGAGGTGGAGAAGCTGCGCCGGGAGCCGTACGATTCAGAGAATCCACAGCACGAGGAAATGCTGCTGAAGGTGAGTGTGAGGAGGTGCTTAGAGGGCAGCCTTTATTCATGTCAGCTCCCAAGCCTGCTTCATGAGCCTCTTTGAAACATCAGAGCTGTTGTCACCTTCCTCCACCGTGTACCTGTTCTAAGACAGGAATACACAGCATTAAAATCTGGTCTGGGTATAACACCTGCCAAGCAAGCAGCTCACTCCCTGGTTGATAAATGCATTTCCCTTGGCTGGACAATATCTAGGCACTAGATAATGCACAGAGCTGTTCTCTGCAGTGAGCTCTGGAAAAGTAACTTTATGTCCTACTTCAGTACACCTTTCTCCAACACAAGAAGGGTATTTTTCTCTATTAACCAAATTACAAATTTATTTCTTCAATTTCTTGTATTTTTGAGGGCAATGTCTGTGTGTACCAATGGCAAGCATCTATTTTTTATTGTGTGGAATGGAAGAGTGGGAGTTGATGACTTACACGTTTATAGTTACCAACTGTATTTTCAAATTAAACTGTTCTGTAGATAACACATGCAGAGTTATGAAAACCATACCAAGTGGGCTTTCCTTTCTTCATGCTTTCAGGAAAGCCTTGCACTGGAGCAGATAATGAAAGCATTTTTCTATCTTGAAGCCATAAGCAGTGGAAGAGATAGAGAGTTCTTATATTAGAAAGGAATTGAGAAAAGAATAATGGTTCTGGAAAAGAGTCTAATAGCAAGCCCTGGTCCTGATCCTGGTTTTAACCATAGCTATTGCAAGATGCTTCAGAGAAATGCCAAGAAACATAGAATATTTGCTACAAGCCAAATGCCTTCTTAGAGAATTTTCAGAGTTCTTATAAAAACCTGTTTGGTTGTTGGGGGTTTTCTTTTTCAATTTAAGACAAAAGTACTGAAAACTTGTAACAATACCAGATGATGATGAAGATGTCTTCCATGCTGTAGCTTGCAGTGCAAAGCTTTGTACAAGTTACAGTGAGAGAGAGAGTATTTTATCAGTTACTTGGTCTTCCAGAAATCTCACTAGGCATATTATACAAGCATTGTCAGATGCACTACTACTAAAAATGCCTCAGATGGTCAGGGTTCCTGTTGGTGTCTGGAAAGCTGCCTTTAAGGTTTTCTGCTGCTGGGAGGTGGGAGTCTCACCAAGGAATGGTCCAAATTCAGAGCTGCCCTGAAGAAGTGTTCTAACCATAAGGTACACTTGGGCAGATGGACTCCTCCTGTTCAAGTCCTGCCCCTGTGCAGCCAAATGCACAAATTTATGGGAGTAGAGTGAGTTTTAACTAAAGGGACACACAGATTTACCCATTGAGGAAGCTTTTGTCTTGCAGGTGAGGGATCCAGGTAGCAGCCTACTGTGTTGGTCCCTGAAAATAAAAGGCACCTCACTGCAGGTTAAAGAGGGCCTTTGGCTCCAGGAAAGCATCCCTAAATACCCTGGGTACCTACATTGCCCAGAGAGTGAGTAGGATCTGGGGATGGGATCACAGGTGAGAAAGACCAAGGAGATGGCTGTAGTCTCTCCCTGTCACCCAACCTGTGAGGACAAGGTCCTGAGAGTCATGTCAGCAATGATGTGTAGTCATGTAAGTGCTTTAAAAACAGAATTGCATGAGCATAAATGCAGAATGGAAACTGAACATTTGTTTGAGGAGAGATTAAACAGCGTAGTTTATGCAACATTATGCAAACTCATAATGTTGAAAAAAAAGTATCAGTTTCACCTAAGAATTAGCACTTGTTTACAGCAGATGTTCTACTTTTGGAAATGTCAAATGGAAATATGTCCAAGGGTTTAATTCATTTTCCAGTCCTCACTCTGGAAGAATAGGCTGGTTGGTTTTCATTCCTTCTAGATACTCTGCTAAGAGATCTCTGCAATGGGTAATTCAGGTTCCTAATGGCTATCATTTATTCATGTTTACCAGGAGAGCACTTTATGAATGAGAGAAAGATTAACTTAATGTGATTGGGCTAATGATTAATACTGTATTTAGTGTTGATAGATGAACATTGGTTTAAACAATGCAGTCATTACAAAGTGAAATCATTAAAGTTTTAACCTTCCAAGGCACTTAATTTTAAATGCAGTTAGAATTGTTAAAATTAAAACAATTTCTGTTTTTATTTGGGAAATGTGCATACAGCTCTTTCCCTTGGGTAGGATTTATCTCAGTGATTTTTTTGAGGATGTACTCACCAACTCATGATTGGTGATTAATACACTTTCTTAATTCTAAATTCTGATTTCTTAATACACTTCTGAAAAGCTGAGTTTGTGATATGGCACATGAGGTGTGCATAAAGGTATGTATTTGTTATATGTCAGTTTAGGCTGCTTTTATGTGCATAGCAACATGATATTTAGGCACTAAAGTTGCCAGACCAGTGCAGTTAAATGGATTTATTCCAGCTGATGATCTGGCTTGTTAAATCACTTTGGACTTTTCTTTATGTGAGATCAATGAATGAATCTTCCCTTAGTTAAATGTGATGGTGCACATGCTATCCTTGTATGGATTTTTTTTTTCTTTTAATATTCCCCAATTTGCTTTTCAACACTGTGGTAGCCAGCTCAGCTCTCCTGATTTATAACCTTTCCAGAGACTTGCAAAAGATGCCATAGAAAAGATTGCTGCAGAGCTTCAGGGACTCAGAGCTGTTCTGCTGCTCTGTCCATGATTTACAACCAAATTCCAGCCCATTCCTGTCTCTGTGCTTATGGAGGCAGACACCACCTCGATGCAGAAAGCATGAGCAAAACAAGTCTTGTGTGAGATGTTAAAGCAGCTGTGATAAGGTCAGAAGGGCCTTGTAGGGCTGAAATGTCTGCAATACTTCAGAGTGGTTTGGGACTTCCCCCTACAGACACACATCCAGAAGAACTTCATTTGATTTTGTGTTTGGGTTGCTGGGATAGCAATGTAGTGATATTACTGCAGTCATCTGTTCAGTGATCAGAACTTAGCTTGGTTTAAAAAGAGAATTAAAAAAAAAAAAAAGCTGTATTGTGTGGAAACTTAATTATGTTTTACCTGTAATCTTTCTAGTTGTGGAAATGCTTGAAGCCGAATTCACCACTGAAAGCTCGGATTTCGAAGCAATGGTGTGAAATTGGTTTCCAAGGTGACGATCCTAAAACAGACTTCAGAGGAATGGGTCTCTTGGGCTTATATAACTTGGTGTAAGTATGTCCCTCTGCAGATGGGTTTACGTGTGTCTGAAGTCATGAAAAGCAGGCATTACTTGCAGATTTTAGCAAACCTGTGGGAATAATTTATAAAAGTGCCAGGGACTTCATATTAAGCAAATGAAAGGATTTATTTGCTAGCCTAATTTTTGGAGTTTTTTTCTTCTCAAAGTGGTCTGCTTTCTTTCAGTTAGTATTCCTAATTCAAGCCTGTAATACCACTTGCTAAGCCCCTTTTTTTTAGTTTCTCTGTGATACAGTAAGTTAGCACTCTCTTCCTATCAGAAAGAATGTGTAAAGTATATTTTCACCAGTATCTAGATGTCCTTAAAAAAATGCCCTGGAAGTATGTAGGTGGGAGGTTTATGTTACTGTTCAGCTGCTGTCTTGGGGAATTTCGTGCTGAATTCTTAAGCAAAACACTTGATATGCAGTCACTGATGGCAGAGTTAGATGGTTTGACTACTACTTCAATTTCTGTCGGTACTCAAAATTAAGCAGTGAGTTTACATCACTTTTTCCTTCCAACTCACGCACACCAGGTGTTAATGCCACAGCTGTGCTTTGTGATTTGGGTATTGACTAATGCCTGTTATTTTCTCCAGCCCTTGTATTTGCTGCATGCAGTTACATAACCTAGAAACATTTGGTAAAATAACTTCTCCTTATGAGGCGAAAAATAAGTATTTTCTGCTTTTACAGATTGAAGGACATAAATCATCCTCTGTCCGTATGTTGTTCCCTAGTAAATCTCAGTTGAGGATCTGGACTCTTGACTCTGGCTTTGAACTTCTATTTGAAATTAATCCCTACCATGTATTTAATTTCTTAGTCTTCTGTGATGACTCTTATCTTGCTTAATGAATCTGCCAGATCAAGAAGCCTGAACTGCTTTCTCTTGAGCTCAGCACCAGACATACTCTAGCCATAAACAACTGATTTTCTGCAGGGTGGGTAGGAAGGAGAATCTGCACATTCACTAAATTCATATAGGAGTGCACTTGTAGTTGGTGGCTGCTTTAATCTTTCAGTTTGGGGGTCTGAGTGGCAGTTTAATGAGTTTAATACGTCAGATGCTACTCTCACTGTGTAACACATGCACTGAGTTTTAAAAAGGTGTGTGTATAGACAGCTTAGTATTACTTCAAATGCTTTTTTTTATTGTATTTTTTAACAATTCACCCTCAACATATATGTCTGCAGGTATTTTGCTGAATGGGACACTGAGATAGCTCAGCAAGTTCTCACTGATTCTCTTCACCCTAAATACAGGTAATGCTTGAGACCAGAAACAGAAACTGCTGGCTCTCTTTGAGGAAGAGGGCTGGGTTTTTGTCTTTGTTGGCATGTCCTTGGGTTTTGCCACATGCTGTCTGTTTTGAGGTACTGATCCTGGAAGCTGGTCAGGTGCAAGAGGCAAACATTTATTCTAAATCTTGGATATAGTTACATTTAGTGTTAAATGTTTTCACTTCTGATTTCAAGTGATTTTTGTATTTTTATTTATCTTTCTTTTAATTTCTTTGTGTTTTTTCATAATAAAGGGAAGTCACTAAGAAGGAACTAAGGTATTTTTTTTCTTTTTTCTAAGTTTTGTGAGAAACTACTTATAAATAAAGATCAAACTACAATTTGGTTTGTTATAAACTTAAAGTCTTTGTTTCAACACCAAGAGTTCCATATTCTTTTCTTTAGAGTTGATCCAAACTGGGGGGTGGAACACTGGGTATATATGAACATGCTTATATATCAAAAATGAAAATCCACCTTGCTTGATGTAGTTAAAATTGATAAGATAACAGAATTGATAATCATAAGTAGTCTAGGCCAAATATTTGTTAGCAGAGCTGAAAAGCCCCTTTATTTATAGTCACATGCTCTGTCTGCCTTGATTAATGATGGTTCCAAGCTGGCTACTCCCTTGTCCTGACTGTTGAGAGATCAGGTACCTTCAAGTGTCAGAAATTGTGTTGTAGGTAATTGTTGTAGGTAATAAGAGACTCCATAATTATTGGGGGGGTAGAGGCCTCTTAGCCAGCTACATACAAATCAGTTACCTTAAAAGATATTTTTCTTCTGCCAGGAATGTTAGATATCCATAAAGCTGGTTCACACCTAAATCCTGAAGCTTTGATCTCCTCAGGGTTTTTAGGTTTTTTTTTGTTGAGTTCCTAAAGGTAATTGTGTGACAAAAAGCCCTTGGAACATATTAATGCTCTTCATTTGCATGTTTGATTACCAAGAGCAGTCTTGGAGTGCTGTGTGAGCGTGTGCAATTCCTATGTCTTGACAGAGCATTCAGTAGAATATAGATGCTGCAGGTGGTGCCCATGGTGATCTTCCTTTTGTGGTTGCTTAGCAGCTGTGCTGCTTTCTGATGGGATTGTGATCAATGGATTTTCTATCTCAGTTGAACTGTTTCACTTGCCCACATCCTATGTGTGCCACCTTTATTATTCTGTCTTTGCCTCAGGTTTTCTAACTGGTGTTATGCCACTGCCTACAAAGATGGTTCAGATTTTAGAGGATGAGCAAAGAATAGTGTATTCTTGTATGCAAAGATGTTGAGGAGCTGGAGTTTTGTCCTCATGCATGCCACCCAGTAACCCTCAGTTCACGATGGTTATGACCTATTAGCATCTTAAGTACTTAAGACAACAATTTTTATGTACTATATTTTCATGAAGATCAGGAAATTGTTTTTAGCTTAATATATACTTACTGAAGTTCAAGAATAGTCTAAGAGCAATGCTTTCACACACAGATGTCTATAATTGGGGACCTAAAGCTTGCAAACTCTGATTTGCCTTACTAAGGCAAAAGTCCCACATCCATGTCAAGGTTGTAGCCCCTGGTTAGGATCAGTTCTGTGCCTGCCTTTAGCTGGTTATAAATGCAGGCAATGATTTCTGCTAAACTTGCTCATTTCAGTAGGCTCAAACCTGGTTAGTGGGATGTTGGCTGACTGGTTGGATCACACAGCTCTTTTAAATAACTGAATAGCTGAAATTTAGGTTAAAATCAATCTGTTCCCTAACTAATTTTATTTTAAGGGAGGCGTCTTCTGTGTCCTTGAAAAGTACTGCATTATTGTGCCAAATAATAGGAAACATTGTTGCTTATACTTTGGCTGTTGAATGGTTTCTAATTTGGCCGGTCATAAAAACTTTCTGTCAGAGGAGTGTTTTCATGTTTGCTGCCTCAGGTGAATCATGCCTCCAGTGATGAATATCTCGTATATCTTTGAAAACACAGAAAAGCTAAAACCATCTTTGATTAGTTAAATATAATTTCAACTTCTTGTACAACTCAAGCTTAACTAAAGTGGATCACCTTTGTGGTCAGTTTAGAAAACAAGGGGCTTTTGTTGAGAACATTGACATAGGTGCATTTTGTAATGGTGAGATGAATTTGCTGACAATGCTCTAAACCAGTTACCCATTTCAAGTCTTTTTATATCAATCCATTCAGCCACAAGCAGTGTTAAATGGGGTTAGCCATGTAAAAGAAGGTAAAATAGTTCAGTCAATGTTATAACATCAGAGAAGTCAAAGGAAAATATTTGTCAGTTAGCAGTGCTTGGCAATATCTGCATTTTAATTATTTTTTCTTCCTCAGCCACCTTAGCAAAGCTGAATGGGAGAAGAAAAAGTTTGATAAGGCGATTGGGTAAGTTTAAAGACTTTTTTTAATTTGCTACAAACACAGCAGGTAACAATGATGCTGATATTTGGGGGAGAAAAGGTGTTTTCTAGTTACATCTTAAAGAGAACTGTGAGTGTATGTACATCTGCTGTCTTGACCACAACTTGGTTTTGATCAAAGATTACAGGAGAAAGTTCAAGTTACGTTCAGAAAAAATAACCAAAAAATTCTGTAGCAAGGAGAAACTCACTCTGTGTGCTATATATAGTGTGGTGATTAATATCTGTTTAATTCTTCTTAGCACATGACATGATCAAGTCTCACTTCTTGCTGTCAAAGGCAGGTTCCTAACTGCTTTCAGGAAAATATAATAGTGAAGAAATAGTACTGAGGGTTTTTTCTTTAACAGTGAGTTTGGTACAACTGGATTATTCATGAGAATAGAACAGGATGTTCCTTCTGAATGTATCTAAAAATCTGTAATACAAGGTTTTACTGCCCATGTTTAATTTTTCTGTGAAACTTGCCATTAGGCCTCATGCTGAAGTTTAATTCTGGACTTCTGTGTTTGTTTTTTTTCCTCCTGAATGCAAAAAAAGGTTAAAGAAAAAGAACATATTTTGGTTTGCTTGATAAAGGTAGTTGAAAAAATACCCAGGACAGTCTAAAGAAGACAGCTGTTTCTAGCTGAGAAAAAAATCCAGTCACTGAATATCCAAACATGTTTGCTTTTATCACTAAATGTCCGTGTGAGTCTTTATGTGTTTTCTTGGGAAATAGTCACTACTAGAAATGTCAAGTTCCTTATGCACCAGCCTCACAAATTAACTTCCAGTTTCTGAGTTTTGTTGTGCTTAAATATACTTCACTTGTAGGTACCTCTTAGCAGGAGAGAGTTTGCTTAATGAGTCTGATTTTCTAGTTTCTGTTTCCAGCATGCTCTGATTAGGTTTTTGCCTGTTTTCTGGCTTTCTCTGGGAGAAATTAGAGGTGACTCGACTGGATCTTTTTCACAAGCTTTTTAGCCGTATGAATGTCTTTATAGGACAGGCTGTTGAAACCTGATGTTCCTAACTATGGGTAATGAGTTCCAGTGGGAACTCCAGCAGTTAAAAATAACAAATGATGGGCTACCCTGCAGCCATGGCCACCGTGTGGAGTCCTTGCCCTGTTTCAGAGGCGAGTGCAGGAGCACAAGGACGTCTGTGCTTGTTCTTTTTTTGTAGGAATTTATCAGTGCTGTTCCGCTGAAAAGGCTGGCATAGTGATGAAATTCCTGGTTTTACTGTGACCATGTATTTCCCAAGGGAAAATGCAGAAGCATACAAAGCATGCAGAGTAAATGTTTCCCTTGCTTTCCACCCCACGCACACCTTGGAAACTCATAAAGGAGAGAATTCATACAGCTCAGTAACACACAAAATCTGCAACATCAGAGTCATCAGTGTTCCTTAAAATGTGACGAAATAAGGTGAACTCTCAACCACAGTTGCTGCTTTTCCTTACAGCTACTCTTTTGCTATCGTGGGCATTAACATAACAGACCTTGCTTACAACCTGCTCGTGAGTGGGGCTCTCAAGACCCATTTCTACAATGTTGCTCCAGAGGCACCAACGCTCACTCACTTTCAGCAGACCTTCTGTAAGTGCTGGGTGTGAGCATGGGGCAAGGGGTGGAAGTGCATAATTGGTACTCTGCTAACAGAGTACTGCCCATAGTTTAAAAAAGAAAATAAAGTCTTCTGACACGGCACAGAGACTGTGCTTTCCTGTCTAGGATGCTTGGATTCATCTCTTAGCTGTGATGGAGGCCACTACCAAACCAAGGTGTAAAAAAAACAAAGAAATACAAACAAAAAAAATGCACTAAGAAGCTTAACAAGTGACCTTCCTGTTTTTTGAATAATAATAAGAAAGCAAATGTGCTTTTAAGGAGTATCTGAATATTGTTTCCTCTTAAATCCAACTGGCATGTGATACTTGCATCTACATTCTAATGTTACTCCCCACCCTTTACCAGACTTGCAGCTCCCCTACCAAAATAATGCTTTGACGGCTCTTTCCCCTGTATTTGAGCATCTTTTCTACAGCAGAGGCCTGCTGTTCATCTTTGCTCAGTGGGAGTAACACTTTTAATATTTTTCAATGTGCAGGCAAGGAACTGATAATAAGCACCTACAGCATCTTTCCCTGTTGTTACACTCCCTAGTTTTATGTTTCAATTTGTGGATCCGTATGTCAAGAGTACTAGTGACTACTTGTGTTTATTGTGAGAAATTCTGCCAGTGTGTGTAGTATCCATCCAATTTTGGCATTGTCCAGAATAGGTTTAGTCTTGTTCCTGCACAGTGTCATGAGATGTCAGATCTCAGTGACCAGGATTCTCTGTGCAAATGATAATTATTAATTCCAGGCTACTTTCTAATTTTATATGTCATCTTTACATGCTGTATCTATCTCTTCTTCCTTTTTATTATTTTGTAGGCTACTTAATGCATGAATTCCACAAATTCTGGATTGATGAGGATCCACTGGACATAATGGAATTCAATCGCGTCAGAGAGAAATTTTACAAGCGAATCTTGAGACAGCTCCAGAACCCAGAGATGGCTCTGTGTCCTCATTTTGCTGCATCAGAAAGTTTAATCAACATGTAGTTACTCAGTTGATTTAATTTGGAAGCACCGTCTCACTCTTGGTTTAGATCACTGTTAGACCACCACTAGCATACTGAATGACCATGGCAATCGTGTGCATGTTTTTGGCGCAGTGTTCATCTATTTTTGTCACATGATCCCCTTATGCTTCTCTTGTTGGGGATTTTTCATTTTAAATGGGTGCTCATATTGCCTCATTATGCAGTGTTAACCTTCTGAATTGATGTCCAGATATCAGAGTTTTTTCTATTTTTTTAGACTTTCCTCATAATTCAGCATTGACAATTGAATTGTATTTCTCTAGCAGTGTTTTTGTATATGTGGAATAAGTAGCTGGATCTTGTATTGTGAAAGCTTTTTAACTTCTCGGTATGTTTTAAGATAACTACTGGCATTTCAAGCAAAATATATGTTTGAACCTCATCTAGAAGATAATGTAATTTAATCTAATGCAGACAAACACATTAAAGTCCAATTTTCTCCATGCAACCATTATATGCTTAATGAAAAATTAATGAGGCTTATGAGATACACGTTTCAGTGAGAAGAGTTAATGCAGAATTACAATCAAATGCATGAATACCAAATGGTCTGGTGATGCTAACACAGTGAACTGAGAACACATTCACAACTAACAGATACTGGCAGGGGCCAAAAATTGTAACATCAAGGTGTTGTCACTAACACCACCATGCTGAAGCATGGTCTAGATTCCTGCCCATTCCTTTGAATATACAGAGGTTAGTGTTTTGTGTCACACGTTGGAAAGCAACACGATTTGGCCACGTGGTGCTTGGTGAATTCAGGGGAGCAAAAATACGTTTCTTTTCTTTGAACTACTGAAAATGTTGCTTTGGTTGTTAATTCAGTTCCTAAGAGCTGGGAGAAATAATTGATTAGAAGGTTTAGAACAAAACTGCTTGTGTTTCCCAGACTACTTATTAAAAAAAATTAAAATGGCAAACTGCCTTTTTTCTAAAACCATAAATGAATAAAAGTATTTGACACTAAGATTGTGTAGTATACTGAACAACATCTACCATGGCATTTCATACCCATGGTATTTTTTACCTTCTAAGCAATCAATTTTAGTATTATATGTTTGTGTAAATCACTTGCATATGGAGATTAAATTGAGTAGTGTCCAACTACTTGTGAATTATATGAATAAATTATACATCATTCTAAACTGAAGCACTGTGGGTTTTATTTTTGAGATACACAGTAATACAGAGGAAAAATGTTTTACTTAGTGGATCAGGTAAAATGGGTTGTAACAGCTCTGTGGTATACGTGAGGCTGAAGTGTGATCGCAGCTTCTTCACATAATGTGCTTTATATCATTTTAGTTACTGCTTGGGCCATCACTTTATTTAACAAAAATAAAAATAAAGAAATGGGAGTACTTCAACTTCCTAGGAAACTCCTTGGATTTGAGCTGTCTCATTTCTTTGCTAAAATGTAAGCTGGGGGTCGAGACTTCTCTACACTGCTGGAAACTTGCACTTATGGAGTTAATCAGCAGAATTTTATGGGCATTGCAATAATTAGTCTTCTCCAATGAATTTGGAGATATGGAACTGGAAATACTAACATTTGCATATTTTGCATGAGAATACAAGGAATAAAAACGCTGCATGTTTAACTTAATTTCATTGATTTTGGAAAGTGGTTATTTATAGCCATTAGGTCTCAAGGACTTTTTTGTGTGACTCTTGAAGCTTATAAAATAGGTTTCTAGTAACAGTTTCCATTGTTTCAAATTTTAGTCTCTCTCTTTCTTTCCTTGCCCCACTCTGACTTAAATACCTTCAGCAATTTATTAGGTTACACTGGTTTATTTTTAATACTCTGCAATGGAGTTAATGGAGTTGCGGGGGAGGGAGGGAAGGTTTCTGCTACCTTCTTACTGCTCTGATCCTCTCAGTTATGCCTTGTCTCAAGGTGTCAACTTCAAACAAAATCAGAAAATGTCACCTGGCTCTGTGTCAGATTGTATCAGTATAATCTAACTGGTTTGGTTGATTATTTTTCCTGTCTTGCAGGAAGATAGACTTAATGAAGCTAAGTGTGAAATTCCTTCTCCTGTGGAACCCTTGCATGCTGGTGACTTCAAATTTGCCCTCTTGTGCTTCATCTTTGTCCTGTGACATGCTTGTTCCCAATATCTATGTCAATCTATGAGGCAGAGAATATCCCTGGTGGATGCCTAAAAGTGGCTGGGCACTGCTGAGGGAAGATGTCTGTCAGGCACTGCCTTCCTTCCTCCCCAAGAATGACCTCCTACCATGATGCAAACCTAAGCTTTTTTTTTTAAGTTAGAATTTACACTATCACTAGTACAAATCCAAACTGATCTGTGAGCAACTAGATGCTGCTTTCCCTGGGGAAGAGAAAATTACATAGAAGGGGGAAAAAGTATTTAAAAGTTGTTTCAATAAAGAAGAATCAATGTTTATATTCACTGCACAGTACAGAATTTGGTTTAATTAAGTACTGAGAAGATTTAGGTTGGATCTTTCCAAAAACTTTCCACAGTTTCTTGGTTGTTTCATTTCACCAGCCATCTTTCTCTCAGGCTCATGCCTGGCCATCTGCACCTCGGGCAGCAAGTGCTTCCTGCCCAGGCTGTAAAGTAAATGGTCACCTTCTTTCTTAGCAGGTAATTTTTCTCAGGCAATAATTTACATAGGCAGTGCCACTCAGCTCAGGTGTTATTTTAAAAAGGCACATCTGTGTTGTAAGTCTAAGCTGTTAGTTTACTGTATAAATATCAAGACAGCATGATGGACCTATGCAGAATACGCATTGCTTAGAATATATATTGCTTTGAGTTGGCAGATGAGAATTGATGAAAGTAAAATATTGGGAGATTGAATGTATTAAAATGCAGAATTATTTACCTTGATCTGTTTAAAGCCGGGGGTAAAAAGGGCTATTTAGTATTGGAGTTCTTTAATTCTGTATGCAGCCTTTTATAATGGGGCCTATATTCCTCTCAGTTACAGATTCACACACTTCCCATAGCACAGCATTTTCTTATCCCAGCTAATGTGTATTTAAATTGTTACCAGGGCTCCTTCAACAACATAGGTGGACACTGACTTGTGTTCACGAACCTTGGTGCTCAGCCAGCATCTGTGGAGCTGGGGCTGTGAGAGCTGACAGGATCTGTGCCTGGGGGTTGATTACAGCCAGGAGGATGAGAGCAAGTGCTGCTCCAGCTTCCTGATAGTTTTTGGCTTGTAGGGTTTTTTTTCCTTTTTGGGGGAAGCAGAAATATTTTTGCTGCACTTCTAATTGGCTCTTTTGGAATGTAGATTTTCAAATGCTTGTGCTAGTGGTACTTCTAAGTACTATTTTTAGAAGCAAACAAGGTCTACCTTATCCATATGATTTCTCTTGGACAATTGTATCTCCTGACTGTTTCCTGGAGCAGCACTGAAGCTCGATTGAAAAATTTACTGTCATTTAGAGGGTAAAGGAGATTAATTTATTGTCTTTTTTAATGAAAGAGCAATCTTTAAGAGCACCTGTGCCCACTGTATGCCCTGTGGGGCACAGACAGCTGGTGATGACTTAGCAGGCTGAAACACTATGCTGCAAGCAGGGCATTTTCAGCATGTCCCCAGCTGAAATAAGTGAGGTGGAACAGGATGTATGTGAACCCAGTGCTGATGGTCAGGTTAATTAATCCAGATCTGCCTGTACTGGCCCAAAGAATCAATGAACATCATGAACAAATTATGAGTGATCATAATTTCTTTCTTAATCACTCCCTTCATGCATTGTGGTTAGGTTTTAACATGTCATTTGCTGACCTGTCCCTTTTTGTCAGAATGTGACCAGAGATTTTTGACCCTTTCACAGGGGGGGCCAGCATTGCAGGGTTGTCCCCTAGTGGGGTATTGCAGTTTGTTGTCATTCCTGCCCGAGCTCTAGAGGAAACCTCAGTCCCAGATCGACTTGGATGGATCTGACTGAGATAGGAATCAGTTACAGCCTGAAATAGTAACTGGAGTGCAATTCTATAACTTCTAAGTTCATGTCTTTGGCAAGTGCTGTTGGGGAAATAGGGAAACTCTGTATACACTTTGGGAAATACAAGAAGTCTGATTATACTTCCTTCTGTCCCCTAGCTGGCTCTTAATAAGCTTGACACCATGAACATATGACCATTTTGGCATCACAGAAAGGCTCCTCTGGAATGGTGATTTTTCAGAGAATTGTTCTCTGAATCTTGTTAACTACCCAGATTTCCACATTTCACTTCTCATTTGGAACTTGGTCCAATGGAAGCACAAATTTTGCACTAATGAATCCACTAGGCCACACTGAGACAAACAGTAGGGTTCCCCTCTGTACTCTTGCATCTGCAGCATGGTGCAGCTAAAAATCACATAAATTATTAAAATAGATATTTTGCAGAAAACAGTCCTGAAACAGATAAGGAAATGAATTATTCATTGTTTTCCTTAGTTTGCGGCAGTGCGGGTTTTCTGTAAGACTTAACAAAGATTCGACAGGACTCTTTCTACCAGATCCTATAGGAATATAGCAGGACAGGCTTTGTGCTTTCCCCTGTGAGCAGTGCACATAGAAATCAGGTCATTACTTATTCTAGTAAAGGAAACTGTTCTACTCTATATACAACTATAATTAGGAAAGAGATTTAGCTCAAAACCTCCAAGCAAGAACTGGGTACAGCAGCTTAGCTCCAAAGGAGCTAGGAGGAAGGGCAGAGGGCTGGTTACTAGGGATCCACTGTGATGCTGAAGGACCATCAAAACTATAGGTGGTGTATTCCTCAAAGAGCTTACAGATTGGAATGAGGGAGGGTAGCAAGATGGGGGAGCGTGAGGCCCACACACAGAGGCACAGCTGGCAGCACAGCTGGCAGCTCAGCAAAGCAGAGCAGCACAAGAGGAGCTGGAATAAAGAGACATGAGGTCGCCTGTTGTATGTTTGCAGGTAGTATCACCCAATTTAAAGGGTAACCAAGAAAGGCAAGTGCAGGTGACTGAAAAACCAAGCCCATGGACAACAGGACATGGCACTGTGGCACTGAAATGAGGGCAGACATAGCAGACTCCAGCTTGAGCACTGCATCGAGCTCTGGCGTCCTCAACACAGGGAGGACAGGGACTTGTTGGAGCAAGTTCATAGGAGGGACACCAGGATGATTAGTTAAAGGGATGGAGCTCCTCTCCTATGAAGAAAGGCTGAGAGAACTGGGATTGTTCAGCCTGGAGAAGAGTAGCCTTGGGATGACCCAACTGCAGCCTTCCAGTACCTGAAGGGGTCTACAGGATGGAGAGGCTATTTATAAGAGCATGTAGTGACAGGATGAGGGGGAATGGCTTCCAGCTAAAAGAGAGAAGGTTTAAATTAAATATTAGGAAGAAATTCTTTACTGTGAGGATAGTGAGGCACAGAACAAGTTGCCCAGAGAAGTTGTGGATGCCCCATCCCTGGCAGTGTTT